CAGGGGGGCGCGGGCACGAAACACAGCTGCGGGCAAAAGAGCGGGTGCCCGCGAGCCTGGGCATCTTTTCCCTTTGCTGTCAACCCGCCCGGAGGCGCTGGGCGCGGCCCGCAGGCTTCCGGGGCGCGAGGCGCCCGCAGCCCCGCTCCGCGCTTGGTTTCCCCTTTTACTTTGGGGGCGAACCGCTGGACAGGGGAGGCGTCGAAATTTGGCTTAATTTGCTCGCCAAGAGGTATCGCCAGGTCTTTGAGTGTGCCAGATAAGCTTCAGAACAGAGCGCGAGCAGAGCTTTGCATTGCAAGGACCCAGTAAAATATTTAATGAGTAAATGCTCCAAAGTGGTGGCAGAAAGCCGATTTTTAATAGTTTTCCTGCTGATCAGTATGAAAATTCTGTAGTGCTCTTAATTTTGGTAAAGGCGGGAGGCATTTGCCTGATGCTAACGTAACTAACTATATTAACTTAGTTTGCCATTATTTATTACTAACATTAATAATACCTAATACCTAGTACATACTAGCGCTCCCTGCGAAAACTTTATAGGAGTTCTCACAATCTTAAGGAGCAGTTACCATAATTAGCTCTGTTGACAAGGAGGAAACCCAGGCCCAGGGAGATTTACTTGTGCAAGGTTACACACCCTGGTGCGGAGACACTGAGTGGTATTGGAAACCCAAGATGTTTGCCTCCAAAGCCTGGTATTGAACCATCACTGTGCAGACTTTGAGGTCATTAATATAAAATTATCGTTAATACTATGCAAATGACTGTAGTGTGGTCATGGTGGCTCAGTCAAGCTTGCTAACATTCACTTCTTCAACAAAAAGTCTTAGCGTCTGCATTACATACCAGGCTGGGTGGGTATTGCGGTTGGGAGGGCTGGCACAGAGTTGAAACATAGTGTTGACCTGAAGGAGCTCACAGCCTAGGGGGAGGCAGAAAAGAGACGCAAACTTACCTTCCAGTGTCAGAGACAGGGATATGCTAAGTGCCGGAGAGGGTAGCGACCCCCCAACAGCCCTGGGCTCAGGGAGGTTGCCCACTGGAAATGAGAGAGTAAAAGGAGAAGAGGTTAGGGGCTTGCGCCAAACTGAGGAGGAACCACAAGAAAGGAAAGAGGAATTCCAACAGAGTGGTATCAGAAATCCGAGGGAGTAGATCTTTCTAAGAGGAAGCGGGCCCCAGTGTCAGACACAAAATTTCCATTGGTTTTGGCAAAGAAGCTATTGGTTTTTTACTAATTTTGAGATTAGTTTTAAATGGGGATGGCTAAAGCCAATTGTAGTGGGAGACCTTAACCATAGACACTTGTTCAGTTCACTTGGCTGCGAAGAGGTGAGAGACAGGATAACTGCTAGAGTAGAAAGTGGGGTTCAAAGAGGATTTTTGGTTTGTTTTTATTTGAAAGCTGGGACACACTTGAGCATGCTTGTTATATTGAAGGAAAAGAGCCAGTAGAGAGTGAGAGCTGAACAAATGAGGGAGATGAGGTTAAGAGCTGATTTCTGAGGCAGTGGGAGAGGATGGGACCTGTGAAGGTAGCAAGTAGGTTGTGAAAAAAAAAGCATGGACTTGAGAATGTCAGAGGACTGCTGTTCAGTGATGGCTCTTTTCTTTGAGAAATAGAAGTCAAAGCCATTTACTGAAAGCAAGATGGGGAGTAGTGGAGGAGAAATTTGAGGATGGTATCGAAGGTTTAGAAGAGCTGCCTAGGGCAGTGGGCTAAGGGGCAGAGCAGGGATAAGTAGAATTGTCAGGGATGGTGAGGGGCAGCTCATGTGGTGCCTGAAGTCTGCAAGGCTGCAGGTCTTCCCCAGCAGCATTTGGAAGTCTAGGTGTTGGGAATGGTTGAGACAGAGTTTGAATTGATCCAGGGTTGGTATCTTGGCATACTTTTGTATATTTATTGTATAATGGTTGCCTAAATTTCCACAAACACATGCCTTGTTTTCACACCGAAACTTCTTTAGGGTAAGGTCTGTGTAAGGGGTGTGCGATCTCAAATGCATAGGGGCCAGGCGGGTGATATAAATGAACAAAACTCTGGGTGTCTGTTTTAAACAAAAGCACACTTTATTCACATATGTAACTTGCAGGAATGTTCTTCCTTTCCATGGAGAAATATGGTACTCTCATTTTTCTCTAAACGTGTTCCTCTTGTCTACCTTTCATTTTTGTTCCTTTTGATACAGGCATTAGAACAGTTTCACTTCCCCCCACCTCCCGAAACAGTTTATTCTTGTAATATTATTTATTATTGTATGATTTTCCATATGAACAATTGTAAACCTACTTTTGCCTCACTCTGTATGGGGTCCATTCAAGGACGAAATAGATTATGTGACTCCTTTAGCCTGGCACACTAGGATTCCACAATATGGACTTAATACTCAGACACTATGACATATTAAATCCTAGTCACATAAACTACAAATAATTTTACCAAATGAAAGTAGGACCATGTGCCAGGAACGAAGGATTTGTATCTCATTAAAACACATGAGTTATTCAACAGTTTTCTTGAATTTTTAAAAATTCATGTTCACTTAGCACTTGTGTGTTTTTTAATCTGCCAGCTGACAAGTAGGATCCGCTACCAGGTATATTTAAAACCTGTGCGAAGAGAAGCTGAACTTGAGTCCATTCTGTCCGCTGACTCATCCTTTCTTGTGACGCAGGCACAGCCACACTGCTTGGTCACTCCTGCGGGTTGCCCCATCGGTGTGCTGTCGAGTGTGAGAGCCGCTGGATTAGACAGAATATTTACAACCACTTTCCTGCTGCATGGAAAATCAGTTCCAACGGATAGACTTTCGAGTCCATTTGCAAAGGTGAGATGTTGGCACATTTCTTCATCATGGGAATGCCAATCACTGTTGGCCAGCTGCCTTGAATGTGGGGAAAGCATTTCACACCAATCCCCCCAGTTTCACTTTCTTCATAATTCTAGTGTAAGAAACCAGTAGTGCCAGGTGAGTGACAAATAGCAGCTGACAGCCTCCATGTCAGGGAGTGAAAGTACAGTGCCAAGCTGGAGAGCATGTGCCCCCTCTAAAAGGTATAGTCACTGCTCAGAGCTGGCTGGTTGTTGCCATGCAGGATAATAGACCCCATGTGGCCAGATCTTCTAACTTTTTAAGAGAAGCTAGAGTCTAGAATGTTATGGGAAATCTCTTACTTTTTAAAGATGTTGGTAATTAATTAAAACATTTAAAAATACTGTGGTCCCACCCTGGCCAGTGTGGCTCAGTTGGTTGAGGGTCATCCTGTGAACGGAAAGATCTTAGTTCGATTCCCCATCAGGGCACATGCTCAGGTTGCAGGTTGGATCCCCAGTCAGGGTGAGTGTGGGAGGCAACCGATTGATGTTTCGCTCTCACATCAATGTTTCTCTCTCTCCCTTTCCCTTCCTCTCTCTCTAAAATCAATAAAAACATATACAAAAATAAAAAAATAAAAATACTGTGGTCCAAAAATGTACTTATTTGAAAAACTGGTGAAATTCAAACAAAGCATGCAGATTAACAGCATTGTATCAATGTTAATTTCCTGGTTCCTATAATCGTACTATGGTTATGCAAGATGTGAACTTTGGGGAAGATGAGTACACAGTATGTGGGAATTGTTATTTTTGTAAGGTTTCTCTAAGTATAAATGAATTTCAAAATAAAAAAGTTTAGAAAATTAGTAAAATACTGTAGTTCAATTCTGTGCAAGCCAAACATAATACTTCTACTGGCTCCCAGTTTGAGCCCTCTGGTTTTTGTCTGGGATTTCTTGGCTTCTGCCATGCCTAGTACCACACCTTGTACACAGTGGACGATCAGTAATACTAGTGTTCTATTTTGGAGAAAATGTTTTTTAAAAATATCATTGTGTTACTTCTATGAATTATTTGACTTTTAAAATTGTCTCCCTTTTTTTAAAACAGGTTTTACAAAAGAGAACTGTTCTACTTCTAGATTTTTTCCATTTTTTTTCTGTAAATCAAAACAGATCAACATGGAGGCCTAAAATCCTTAAAGGGACTTAGTCTAATCTCCGGGAGGTAGTTTTGTGCATGAATAAACAAATTAAGTAGTTAACTAGAGTTTGTGGCATCCAAAGAATGTTATAATTTTAAAAATATGATCTAATTATATGAGGTGTAACTATAAAGTAATACTGAGTTTGATTTTGAATTTGTGGAGAAGTGATTTTACTTGGGACATATTGTTGAAGTACCCTTCGAAATTGGCTGAGCAGTCTCCCACTGGCTGCTGTGTAGAACAGAAAAAAGGACCTGCGTTTGTTAAAGATTTTAAAATGAATGACAGTTACCTAGAACAACCCTCTGCTAAATTAGAGAAATATGCAAATGAGACCTTTGACATGTTAAAAAATTTCTACAATGACAAAGAAGTGTCAAGAACAAAACTTTCTGATATATATAACAAATTTAGAGAAAGTAGGAAAGATGAACTTGATTATTGATCAATAAATTATCTAACCATTGATAAGACTATTGGTATTTTAAAAGTCTAAAATTTAGTTTGCTCAAATGGGCTATTATCTGTGAGAATGATAAGAATAAGAATGATGGCTATATGGTCACATTTTGGTAAAGGAACTTATTCAGGAAGAAAATATACACAAAGACAATAATAAACACCAAGAAGGTTTTTCTAACAATGTTAAAATTTTTGACCAGTGAAAGGAAAACTGAAATTAGATACAATAACTCACCTTTGAGATATGCTTTTTTTGCCACCTGGAATAAAGCATTAAAGCCTGCAGTAGAAAATCCCAGCATAAAAAAGGAAGGAAGGAAGGGAGGGAGGAAGGAAACTCCCAACATCTGTAGGACCAGGAAACAGTGCTTGCAAATCACTGCTAGAAAAACCACAATGACTTATTTATTGGTCATTGCTGATAGTATTGACGCAGAACCTATTCACTGCTAGTCATAATCAAGATATTCTGAATTTTTAGGTCTCTGCTGTTCAAAAGGAGTGGACTATGACAAAGTAAATTTATTATTAGTTTTTGTCTTGATAAATTCCAGTTCAGGGTATGCTGTTCTTGAAATATTTTCTGACCAAGCCATATTTGTATCATTTGCTTATCCATCTTAGCCTATAGACTCAGCACTCTTTTGACTATCTTAAAAACAAATTCACTATCAGAGTAGAAGATTTGATGTTGGCATGAGGCTGAGTTTAAAAGACCAGTTGAGCAAATACATTCATCTCTGATAATTTATTTAAAGTAGACTGTAATTTGCTAAGATCTGATAATTTATTTAAAGTAGACTGTAATTTGCTAAGATCTAATGGTATCACTATTGTGAAGCAACCAGGTTCCTGACTATTTATGGGAAATAATTATTATTTAATAAATTTTAAAGCCAGGCCTTAAGATTTATCAGTTAATTCTGTTACTACTTATGCTCTATCTGGAAGAAAATTTTACATTGCTTTGTTCTCCCTATTAAAATGACTGTCGGAAGAAAAATCACTTAATTTGAGCAGGGTTTGGGATATACTATATTTCATTGAATCTAAGATGTCATCAATTATAAGGTATACCATTATTTTATGTACTGTTAAGAAATAATAATGCTGCTAATTAAAATATGATATGGCATTAACTATACGATACCTCTCGATAACAGATATTAAAACATGCATCTTAGAATCAGTGAAATATAGCAATGCATTCCTTTCCTCATGCTTTTTTTCTCCCTGGCTATCAAATTTTGTAATTTAAATAAGGCAAAATAAACATACTCTGAATATTTTTTTCTGTAGAGTACTTACAGAGCACAACTTTCCACCATGAGAGCAAGCTAGCTGTGTGAGTCAGACATTTTACCTTTAGGCTGGCTGAATGTCACTGAAGTGTTCGAGTGGAGGTTGGCGCACCTGCGGAAATGCCTGACACTCAATGGCATCTTAGTGACCTAAAGCACTCTACACTTTTATGAAGGGTTTGGATTTTCATCACAAGCTACTGTGTAGCATCATGTTTACATTGTATGATTGTACAAAGGTGCTGTTATGCAAAATTGTCCCTTAAGACCTATCAGTATAGGATTTTAATCTCGCTGTGCTGAAGGCATAGGAGAAAAAAGAAGAAAAGATTTCCGTTCTAGGTGTTCAGCCTAGTACTAAAACTAACAAAATCAAAAACCATGCACAAAACTACCTCCCTAGAGAAAGGCTAGTCCCTTTTCCTCCCCATCCATTTCTTCATGAACATAGTAGAAAAGAGCGAATTCTTATCAAATTTGATGAAAAGAGCCAACATGTCTGAAATGAAATACGACTTTTCATGTGAACTCTACAGAATATCTACGTATTCAGCTTTCCCCGCCGGTGTTCCTGTGTCAGAAAGGAGTCTTGCACGTGCTGGTTTTTATTACACTGGTGTGAATGACAAGGTCAAGTGCTTCTGCTGTGGCCTGATGCTGGATAACTGGAAACAAGGAGACAACCCTATTGAAAAGCACAAAAAGTTGTATCCTAGCTGTAGCTTTGTACAGAAACTGAATTCATATCACAATGTGAGAGCCCCTTCTCAGCTTAACCTGCCTTCTTCAGGAACACATTCCACACATTCATTACTTCCAAATTCGGAAAACAGTGGTTATTTCAGTGGTTCTTATTCAAGCTTTCCCTCAAATCCTGTAAACTCCCAACCAAATGAAGATATTTCTGCCTGGAGGAGAAGTCCCAACCATTGTATAATGAACACTGAAAATGCCAGGTTGCTTACTTTCCAGATGTGGCCACTGACTTTTCTGTCACCAATAGACCTGGCAAAAGCAGGTTTTTACTACATAGGACCTGGAGACAGGGTAGCTTGCTTTGCCTGTGGTGGAAAATTGAGCAATTGGGAACCAAAGGATGATGCTATGTCAGAACACCTGAGACATTTCCCCAAATGCCCGTTTTTAGAAAGTCGGCCTGAAGACACTTCAAAATACAGTGTTTCTAACCTGAGCATGCAGACGCAGGCAGCCCGTTTTAGAACATTCTGTAACTGGCCCTCTAGTGTCCCAGTTGATCCTCAGCAGCTTGCAAGTGCGGGTTTTTATTATATGGGTAAGAAACTTAATGTGATGATAATAATAATAATTCAAAACATTTTATACACTTTAGTGGACAAATTATAAGTATTCATGCGTTTTGGTTCAAAATTAATTTTAGGTCACAATGATGATGTGAAATGCTTTTGCTGTGATGGTGGACTGCGGTGTTGGGAATCTGGAGATGACCCGTGGGTAGAACATGCCAAGTGGTTTCCAAGGTAATTGTCTTGAAATTCTCATTGCAAATGTGTGTGATTATCATGAGATGGGTTATATGTGTTTACCTAATAGTCAGCTGTTACTTTATTCCTTGTTTCAAAACTACATTTGTGAATAATTTAGGATGGATTACTTGGAAAAGTAATTACTTAAAAGATTCTGATGGAAATTTAAGACAAAGAAGAAATAGGTATAGAATTTTTGTGTGAAATTAATATATATATATCTTAAAATAACATATGCTTATGTTGTAGACAAGTACAGAGACAAAAAATTTAAAATGCCCAGAACTCACAACCTAAAGGTGACTACAGCTACCATTTTAGTGAACATCCTTCCTGAATCTCTTTGTGCATATGTACATACATAGATAAATGTATTAGATATTGTATATACTATTTTAAAGTTTTTTTTCAATCAACATTTGTCTTGGACATATTTCCATTCATTCAATATTCAATAACATTGCCCTGGCCAGTGGTTAGAGCATCAGCCCTCGCACCAAAGGGTCTCAGGTTTGATTCCTGGCACATACCTGGGTTGCAGGTTCTTTAGCAGGTTCTCTCCCAGGTCTGGTTGGGGTGTGTGTGGGAGGCAACTAATCCATGTGTCTCCCTCACATCAGTGTTTCTGTCTGTCTGTCTGTCTCTCTCTCTTTCTGCACTCCCTCCCTCCCTTCCACTCTAAAAATCAATGGAAAAAATATCCTTGGGTGAGAATTAACAAAAAATTTTTTAAAATTGATAATATTAATTGATCATCTATTGCTAGGCATTGTTTCAGGTGCTTAAAATACTCAGTAGGACAAAACCAAGACTTCTGGTTTCATATGCTGATATTACAGTAGGAGAGGGCAGACAATATAAACTTAATAAGCATGTTGGAAGATAATAAGTACTATGGATAAAAAGAAAAAAGAGAGAAGGGTAAGGGAGACCAGAAGCACCAGGCAGGCTGCAATATTAAATAGGGTGATCAAGGTAAATGTAGACCCAGCGCACCTGTTCTGATCACTACATAGCATTTTACTATCATGTCTTATACTTTTATTCCATACTTGTTTACACTCTCCTTTTTTTTATTGAAATCTGGTTGCCTATAATTATATTTTTCATGGTGAAAGCTTTTAGTATTTTTAATGTTGATTACTAAACTTGGTATCCTAACTTATTTTCATTACATATGTTTTTAAAATATAATACTGTGTCTTCATTTACAGCAACTTTGTGCTCCCCAAATATTTCAGATTTCAAAAATTATGAAGGCTATAAAGAATAACTTGCACAGGTGTTTTAAAAAGTGCTGCTAACTTTCCATTGTGGTAATTTTGTGAATATGTAAAAAGAATGACAAATTTGCTTTCGTAGTGTCATGAATTAATTTTGTACTTAAATTTGACAATGGATGCATATTACCTAGGAAATGTCAAACTTGTGAATATCTGACTTATTAGAAAATGTGCTCAGCTTCCTCATTCTTTCTCTCATGCCCCCCTTTGTATATTTTCGTCTTTTGGACATACAAAGCTTATTTATGAACAGTGTTACCAGTTATAGCCTTCCTCTCGCTTACATCATCTTGCCTTTGACTTCAGTATCTCTTAACACTTCCCATATGCTAAATGAATAGTCAAATGGTTATATGATTATGTTAATTTAAAATATTTAGCAGTCTACAAATGGCCAGATTTAAATAACTCCTCAAACTTAATTTTGCTTCCATTTCAGGTGTGAGTACTTGATACGAGTTAAAGGACGAGAGTTCATCAATCGAATTCAAGCCAATTACCCTCATCTACTTGAACAGGTATGGACTTTTTTTTTTTAATCGTTGTTTAACAACAGATAAATTATTTTCCAATAATTACAGAGTAGTATTTTACTGCAAAGGCAAGAGTTGCTTTAAAAATGTGTTTTCTTTTTCACAACCCCCAGCATGATCTTAAAGAATACTATTTTTAGGATAAAAACAGATCCAGAATTAGAAACCTATTGAAAAATAATATTTAAGTTATATTTCTAAGTATTTTTCTAAGAAAGTTGCAATAAAATTATTTGAGGAAAATATTGGATGGGATAGCAGAATTATAATGGTTTACTATATTAATTTTTCTTAGAAAGATACTTGTATTGCTCTTTCTAATCTTCCTGGAAAAGCAAATTAGAATTTATATAGAAGTTTGAGGACCAAACACTTTCTAGCCATAGTAAATGGAGCTGAGATAGGTTCCACCTTATCCCAAAGGGTGATCTAGGAAGTAAGATCTTTGGGATGAAAGGCGAACAGTGACTATGTCATGGGTCACTGAAAAGGTCTAGCCCTCCTCCTGCCTTAATGAAAATAGAATTTATTTGTTAATATACACACACACACAAAGAAACTCTATTAGTTTATGGCTTAGGGGATTACTGCTAAATGTAAATAAAATAGTGCTTTTGACATAAAAAATTATTTTGCCAATAAGCAAGTCAGTTTGCAATAAGTTGAATAAAATAGGTTTCTTGATTAAAAAAAATTTTTTTTGCAAAGGACAGGATAAGATTTATATTTAAATTTTTATACCTTTCTTTTCCACGGTAGCTGTTATCTACTTCAGAAAATCCAGAAGATGAAAATGCAGAGGCACCAAGTATGTACAATGATAATAATTACTACATTTTAAATAGAACCAGTTACTGTTAAGACTAAACTTTGATAATAGTTATAATGTACATTTATGGTATGATTTATCATTTACAGTGAATTTTCAAATACATTAAGTTGGTAAGTTGGTATTTCTCAAACTTTAGGGCATATCATAATTGCCTAAGGAACTTTAAAAAACATTACAGATTTCCAGTCTCCACTTCAAACCTACTAAATTGAATCATAGTATCTAAGGATGGGACTTAAGCAGCTGTTGTTTTAACAAACTACATATATCCAGCCTAACCCTTGTTCTCAGGCCCGTGTGGGAACAGATATACTATAACATTAGATTACTCACATATTCTTTCTATGAAATAGAGAGGGTAGAAAATACTCATTTTTTAATAGGGACCTGAAGCTCAGAGAGGTTAACTGATCTGTCCATCACCTTAAACTGAAAAGGTGATAGAGTCCATATTTGAACAGACTCTTCTACTCTATTATCTAGTATTCACTTCAATTCAATAAACATTTCTTGTGTATCTGTTATTCTGAGAGACTAGAGAACAGTATAAACGTAACTCCTGTTCTCATGAGCTGATGGGTGAAGGGACACAGAAAATACACAGGAGAGAAGGATGTGGTGGGAGAGTTGTGTGCTCTGAGAGTGATGAGGGAAGATGAGAGAAAGCTTCAGATTAGAGGAAGTGCTGGTCTCATCACAGAACCAGAGGGAAGAGGAATTAACCAAGTGACAAAGGGAGGAGAAGAGTATTCCAGGCAGAAAGAGCAGCACGTGAAAGACTTCAGGAACAAACGAGAGTGGGCACAGTCGAAGAACTCTTGAGGGCCAGAAGCAGGATTTGCAGACATAAATAAATCAGGTTAGCAGTGAGAGTAGTCAGCACTGCAGGCAGAATTCGTGACTTCGGGGCTAGAGTGCAGACTACAGATGAATACATGGCGAGAGATCCATGTGCTTGTGACTTCGGGGCTAGAGTGCAGACTACAGATGAATACATGGCGAGAGATCCATGTACTTGTGACTTCGGGGCTAGAGTGCAGAGTGCGAATGAACAAGTGGCGGGAGATGGGGGTGAAGAAATTACGTGTCCAGATAAGGTATGAGGTCTTATGAGTCACCACTGAATTAACATCCCTAAGAACAGTAGAATTGTTGATGGAATTTAAGGAGTGTGACACAGTCAGATTTATGCTTTTGAAAAGTCACTTTGGCTCCAGCGTTGAGAATGAACTTGATGGGACCAATACTGAAAGAGGCCATTGCAGCAATAAAGGTGAGCAATGACAATGGCCTCTTTTGAAACTATGTGAAACATACTCGATTTAGAAAGCTCAGTTGTTCATTCAACATAGGAAAAAAGAACTTCTGTTCTGTTGCGGGGGATGCCCGACATTCCATTTCCTTCTCCCACTTACAGTTATGCCAGATAATGCATATTTTGTATCTGACCACAATATTCCATATTCTCATTCTAGTGACTGAACATGTATATCATTATTTTAAGTTTAACAAAGTTAATACAAAATAGTGCCTTTATATATTTTTGGCTGTACGCTTTTGATATTGAAATAACTTTCAATTTGAAAAATATACAGATGATCCCAGTATGTGTTAAATTCTTTATTCCACATAGTTGTTCATTTTGGACCTGGAGAAAACCATTCAGAAGATGCAATCATGATGAACACACCTGTGGTGAAAGCGGCCTTGGAAATGGGCTTCAGTAGAAGCTTGGTAAAGCAGACAGTTCAGAGTAAAATCCTAACGACTGGAGAGAACTATAAAGTCGTCAGTGATCTTGTATTAGATTTACTCTATGCTGAAGATGAAATAAGGGAAGAGGAGAAGGAGAGAGCAGCTGAGGAAGAAGAATCAGGTACACATACTGTCAGTAGTCTCTCTTTCCATATGAATCTGATGTCCCTGTATATAAGTTACTGAAAATATATTCATAGTTAATTCAGTCAAATTTGTCTAATGATCAGTATTCTGAAAAATTTCTTCACATTAAAATATATTTGAATTGCTTAGTAAATTGAAAATGTATATATTGAATGAAAGCATTTTTTCCTGCTTTTTCTTAATTTATATTTTTACTCTGGGTAGTTGATTGTGTCTGTAATTATTCCTGGTGTATTTTTGACCTCAGGGTAGTTGCTCACTTCCAGTTGCTGTATATGGGGGTGGAGTCAGGGACAATGATTAATTTTAATATTATCATGATAGTATATCTTAGCCTGGGACTATAAATTAATGTAAAAATTATGATTAAGTCTCCTACCTGCGCACACAAGAGCTGAGTTTCCCTTCCTAATGTCCCTCTAGTATTCAGGGGAGTCCTAGGATACTATTTCACATTCTCTCAAGACAGCTCACCCATGGCCTTTCATACTAGCTTTGTCTACTTCTCTGCTGCCTTTACTATACTGCCTTTCACAAAAACTCTCTTCCTCAGAGCATTTCCAGTCTCATCTGGTTGCTCTGGTTGCACTAATCACTGTGGCCTTCGCCACTCTTTCCCAGTCATGGACCAATCCTGAGAGTCCTTTCAACATAGCTAAAAACAGACTGCAACTTTTAACAAGCTCTTACTGGAGATTTAGGGATAACAGAAGGGCACACTATAGCAAAAATGGCAACTGACAACTGTAATTATATGTAGCCTCTCTTGGTGCCCCTAAACCTATCCTCATGAATCTTTCTTCCTAGCTTCTGGTTTATCTCTGCATAGCTTTGGCTAGTTTACACAAATGACCAGGAAAGTCCCAAGCATGTTTTTCCTTATCAAAACTCAGGTCCCCAAATATCCACTAAGCCCAGAAAGAGAAAAGAGGTTGCTCCTTATTCTTGTCCGAGGCCATCTAGGATCTCTTTCTTCCCAGTGAGACTATCCACTCCATTCCTGAATAAGCCTACCCCTGCCCGCAAAGGTGGCTTTGTACTCTGGCCAACCCAGGCATATCAGACTACAGTAATACAGAATTATTTATTTACCAAAATGTGAATTATTCAGTCCTGCACACCACCAATTCAGCAGCAAAATAGTCCAAGTTCATCTCTGCCCACCCTACTCAGGCTCTCTTTTTCACTGTGAAGATGAGGCTGTAAGTTCTTCCTGTAGTCTCAGTTTTGGCCATTGGTCATCAGTGAACAATTGCTCAAAGAAGAGAACGCCTATCTCCACAATTGTTTATAGACCTCATGAAGTCGAAAGCCATCCAGCTATAAAATACTTATATTTCCTCCAAAGAAAATAAACAGTCTCCAGATATAACCCCAAATCAACAATATACAATAACTTGCATTCTCAAAAGGATTCTTTCTCAGTTCAACATTATATCTGTACTACCTAGAACAGTGTCTGGACTCAAGAAATATTTTTTGAATGAGTTAATGAAAATACTTCCATTTAGATTACTGATTATTTTAAAGTTTTCCAAGAGCAGTGGGTAATTTCTTTACAGTTTTAAAAAACAAACAAAACATGCCTCAAAGGTATTTTCACCTCTTATAGGCCAGAATATAGTCTGACTTCGCAGTGAGACTTTTTTCCACAGCTACTAGCAATCCAATTTTATAAACCTTAAGAATCTCAGAGAATTGATTACATTACGTTAAATAAAATGTAATTAGAAAAATTAATCTTAGATTGAAAAACTAATATACTTCAACATCAAGTGTAAACTATATTTTAGTTTTCTAATGTGTCACTATTTCTCTCACGTAGATAATTTAACAGACTAGATTAAGTTCTAACTCTTCTCCCTCTCTATCTCTTCGTTCCCACTGCTCTTTAAATTGCTAAGGCTTGGTTGTTAATCTGTTCAACACATACTTATGGAATCCCTGACCTTGTCCCAGACACTGTTCTAGGTTGTGGTCCTTTGCTCATTTATTCTCAGAGCTTCAATTATCTTCAAAATGTGTATCTCTAACATTGACTTTTTGACTAAGCCTTATATTTATTCTCTATTAAGTGGTTCTATTTTTGTGTCCTTTTACTTGACAAAGGCCGTGCTCCTAAACTCTTTACAATCATTGCTCCCAAATAATGCTTCTTTAGACAACCCAATTTCTGTCATTCGTTATTTGATAGATACAGCTTTATGGATCATGGGAAAACTATATGACAAGTAATTAATAAACCGAGAGTCATAAGTCATTTTCCAAAGAGAGAACAAAATTTCAGAGTTTCAAAATAGGAAACATTTTACCAATAGATTAAAATATCTAGATCTTGAAGGAGAATACAATGATCCTGAATGACAGGAATGTCATTGACAAGTAGGGTTTAGTTTTCAAAATGTTCTTAGGGTCTTTGCCCTTTTACTACAAAATATTTGGGTAATGGCAATATGATGTCTAATTTGGGAAAATAATTAAAATTTCATCTGAAAATGGAATTTTAAAGGAATTTTATGCGTAAATGGTAATTTAAGAAAAAATATATTCTATCATTTTAATTTTCTTGATTTTATTTTTCCCAAGTTTGACTAATTGAATAGAAATTTCAGTTTTATTAGGTTCTAAATTTTATTTGGTTAAAGGCTTAGCAGTGTTGCCAAATGGTTGAGAGCACAGATTATGATGCCAAACTACTTTGGTTTGACTTTTGCTAGTTGTGTGTCCTCTAGTAATTACTCGCCACATTGTGCCTCTCTTTTCTCACTTGTTAAATTAAGGTACTAGTATCCACCTCAAAGGGCTGTTGTGAAGATGAAATGATTAAATACACATACAGTGCTTACCACAGTGCTTAGTAAGTGTTCGCCCTTATTGTAAGTAGCATTGTTATCAGGCACAGGGGATCAGGTACCCCCAAACCTAGCAATCAACTTTAATGCCTGATTATGAATTATGGCCATTTTTCACTCAGTTATGTGTGTAGGTGTGGAAGGAAGTTTGTGAACAGAGATTGAACATGTTTGTGTTTGCTTTTTTCTTTTTTATAAAGATGATCTATCATATATCCGGAAGAACAGAATGGCACTTTCTCAACATTTGACTTGTGTGCGTCCAATCCTGGATAGTCTACTAATTGCTGGAGTGATTCATGAACAAGAACATGATGTTATTAGACTGAAAACACAGATACCTTTGCAAGCAAGAGAACTGATTGATACTATTATAGTAAAAGGAAATTTTGCAGCCACTGTATTCAGAAACTCTCTACAAGAAACAGACCCTACATTATACAAGCGCTTATTTGGTAAGTGCTGGAAAATTACTTTTGAGAACTTTCTAGGTCAACTGAAAATATGTTATTATTAATATTTGTGATTAATGAAAAAAATCCAATCTAATTGATAAACTATTAATTGCACGGAAGACTAAAGACTTTTGTTGCCTTGACATTATGACAATTATTTATAGTATTTGGCTAGAGTCTAAACTGTTAGTTTAAAAATATATATTGTGACTAAATAGTAACCTTATTTGCCCTAGTAATGCTTTTTTCTTTCCCTCCCTTAGTACAACAAGACATAAAGTATGTTCCCACAGAAAATGTTTCAGGTAAAATAGTATTAATGATTTAAACCAGTAGAAAACATTTTTATTTTCTTGGCTTTTCATTGGGGGAGAAGCAGCAAATTGCCTTTTACTAAAAATGTGTTTCTCTTTCTTAGATTTACCAATGGAAGAACAATTGAGGAGGCTACAAGAAGAAAGAACATGTAAAGTGTGCATGGACAGAGAAGTGTCCATAGTGTTTATTCCGTGTGGTCATCTCGTAGTATGCAAAGACTGTGCCCCTTCTCTGAGAAAATGTCCTATTTGTAGAGGAACAATTAAGGGTACAGTTCGTACATTTCTTTCATGAAGATGATCCAGAACTTTAGAATTATGGATTAAATGTATTGTAATTTTGACTTTTATACTGATTTGGTTTCCTTAATTTTAAAAATTTATTTACAACTCAGAAAATTTTGTTTTATACAAGTATAAATATATTTATATTAATATATAGCTAAAACACATAAACACATTTCAGATAGCAAGAGAATGATAGGTTTTTGTTCTTGTAAACAAAAAATAGGGATAGCATTACAAGTACAATACTAAGTCACAATATCAGCACTATTGAAATTGTAAGTGGGGTAAAATTTCAGGTTTTTTAATTAACGTTTCAGAATTTTAAATATTTTGGAGTTGTATTAAGAACCAAGGACACGGATCCTCTGCCTTTTTTGATCAGTGTCCTATACATAGAAGGTCTTGATATTTATTGAATGCCTTTTTATGGACATGGTATTTTTGTAAAGAATTCTGTGAGGAACATTTTAATAAAGCAATCAGAATTACTCTTGTTCTTAATATTTGTATTTCTATGATATCATATAATTTAGTAATTCCTAGGCTCCTTCCTTACCAACTTAAGTCCTCTGCAATACTGAACTACAGTTTAGATCCCTTTCTTTAAGATGTTTCATCATTAACACTTGTAGAGCACAGGGACCTTAATCTGTGAGCTTCAATGGGATGTCTGAGATGAAATCAAACAATCCTCTCAGTGTTTGTTTATCCATTTGTCTAAATCTTATGCCAACCCTATCCATTGGGAAGAGTTCCTACTTTTATTCTCACAACTTTGGTATTCTGGGACTTAGAAAGTACACTGGGTAGCAGCCCTTGGAATCAACAGCTCTTTCTGCTAAAAAAAAAAAAAAAAGTTCTGTTCTGTCAGTGCAGCAAAATTTCCTCCTATGCATTACTTTCTGGTACCACATTAAAAAGATAATTCTCTATCTTTTGTTTCCTATAGAGGTATCAGGGTTTAAAACCAGAAGTAACACTATAATTAATGGGGAATACTTTGGGGGGAAAAGCAAAAGCCAATTATCTAAACCAGTTCTAGATGTTTGCTAGGGTTCTGCAGCAAAGATTAGGAACCAAGCAATGGGGAGAGAATTCATCTCCTCATGTTGGCACTGGAAGACCATTTCTTTGGGATGTCACTGATTTTGCCTCTCCTATCAAAAGGCTCAGTTGGTTAGCCACATGCTAAGCACATGGTCCTCCTGGGGTATTAGGCTGAATTGTAATATTGCTTAGGTGATCTGTAACTCAGCAACAGGATAAATATTTAGATAGTACACGCCCTTTTTGCAACATCTATTTTATCTGGTTCTTACTGCATACTATGCATAATACTTGAACTTTCCTATCTCCATTGTAAAACTCTTGCTCATTTCTCATTTTAGTAATCTATAGCTAACATAACCAACTTACTTATTCAAATACTTTGTTATTTCCTTAAGTATTAGAAATTTTGTTTTGGAAAAAATAAATCACCGTAGGTAACACTGGTAGCTCCATTTGCTGATATGTCAGGCACTGTTTTTGGCTGCTTGATGTGAGGTAATTCATTTGATTCTCTCCAACTTCACTCCCCATCCAACCTGGCCTTCAGTTCCCATAATTGGGTAGATAATTTAAACCTCAATATACAATATATTAAGTTATAATTCAGAACTTTGCAGCAGGCTTAATTTTATACTTAGGTCATGCTCATTATAACTTCCACCCACTTTTTTTATTCATTTTCTTATGTTACTTGATAATATTAGCTAAGTTCCTTTGTGGCTATAAGCAATGTCATTCAACCACGCTCATCTCCTGACATCTCGCACATCATAGCAGACAGTGTGGATGTTTATTATGTAAATTCCTGGCAAAACTATCAGATGTGATGTTAAAGTAATTCACTGTTTTAGAAGCAACACTAATATGCTTGAAACAGTACCATAGATCAGTATTGCTCATTCTTTTTAAAAAAAATATTTTTTTATAGGTTTCAGAGAGAGGAAGGGAGAGGGAGAGAGAGAGAGAAACATCAATGATGAGAATCATCCATTGGCTGCCCCCTGCACGCCCTCTACTGGGGATCGACCCCAGCATGTGCCCTGACTGGAATTGAACTGTGACTTCCTGGTTCATAGGTTGATGCTCAACCACTGAGCCACACCAGCCAGGCTGCTTCAGGGTCTTTGACTAGAATGTTCTTTCAGCCACTCTTTCCCTGGCTAAGTCCTACGCATTCTACAGGTCTCACTTAGCCTGGATGTTACTTCCTCAGAGAGGCTTTTTCTGACCTCCCCCACCGAAATTTTATCCCGGACTGTCTTTCAAATGGCCTTTTTATTCTTTGTGACACTTATCACAATTTGTGTTTATACACTTGTTTAATGTCTATACACTTGTTTAATGTCATATTCTATCATCGAAATTTCCATAAGAAAGAGAATCATCTGTTTTGTTCACCAGTATATGTCTAACACCTGGCACAGAGCCTGGCCTAGAATAGGCCCTTAGTGAATAAACGAATGAATAAATGACTTTCTGTGAGTGGGGGTAGATGTGAGAGAGATTTCTTCTTCCTTAATTACCATTGTTGGTACATTGTTAAGGCATAATCATTGACAGAGAATCATGGGCAAAATTTAGATATCAAACATAATTTTTAGAGAGGAAAGATCAACCCAGTTAAAAAAAAAGATTTATGTAGGTGGTGGGCTTGGAGCTATTTTCTGAATGATGAAGCAAGGTATTTCAATTTATGAAAGAATATTTTAAAAAGGCAAAATATGGGCATTAGAATCTTAATAAACTGACATTAAACATGCATGTACTAGGTATCTATATACATTATCTTATTTTAGACTCAGTGCAATTTTTAAAAAGGCAGTACAGCACAGGGATTAAAAGTGCAGGCTTTGGGTTCAGATGACAGCTGAGTGATCCTGGGCAAATTATTTAACATCTGTGCCTCAGTGTGCTGTGTGCATCTGTGCGAAGTGAGGATAACGTAGCAACATCGCAGAGGATTGCAGTGAGGATTTAAAGAGTTGATATATATTAGGTGCTAGAATGCTCAAATATTAAGTAGGTATTGTTCTTGTTTTTTAAAGATGAAAAAAATGGAGGCTTAGAGAGATTAAGTATGTTGCCTAAGGTCTCAGCTGGTAAATGAAAGCGTTGGGAGGAGAACCCACATTAACTATCACCATAAACTGAAAAAGACTTTAAGGCTAAGTTCTTTAGCTTGCAAGCATCCTGCCACCAGGATATTGGAATGACTTCTTTAAGGAATCTCTCAAAAATTGCTCTGTCAGCTTTATTATCTCAGTAATAGGGGTGAATACAACAGAACTTAAGTCATGCCTAAAAATAGTGATCCATCTATTTTGTCATGCCAAATTCCAATTCCAATTAGCTTAAGCATATTACATCATATCATACCATGATATGATATAATACCATATCCTATCGTGCCACTTTCCAAATATATGTAGACTCTGTTATTCAAAATAAATATACATGGAAAAGCATTGCTAAATTTACTGATAGAGCTTTTTCAATATATCAATCAAGGGGTATTAAGTGTCAATTATAATGTGGGTATCCTCAAAATATTTTTAAAAGTCTTCATACTTGAGCCCAGCCGGGCGTGGCTCAGCGTTTGAGGATCGACCTAGGATCCAGGAGATGGGGGTTCAATTCTCAGTCAGGGCACATGCCTGGATTGCGGGCTCCATTCCCAGTTGAGGCGTGCAGGAGGCAGCCGATCAATGACGACTCTCTCATCATTGATGTTTCTCTCTCTCTCTCTCTCCCTCTCCCTTCCTCTGTCTGAAATCAATAAAGATATATTTTTAAAAAATGTCTTCACACTTGAAAATATTGGAAACCACTGGTCCAAAAGAGATCTGTGTTGTTTTAATATGGTAGTCCCCAACCAGGCTATTGAGCATTTAAGATGTGGCTTGGTCTGAACAGAGATGTGTGGTAAGTATAAAATACATAATAAATTTCAAAGACCTAGTACAGAAGAATATAAAATACCTTAGTGCATGTTAAAATGATACTATTTTAGATATGCTGGGTTATAAATATATTATCAAAATTTCACATTTCTTTTTGGTTACTAGAAAATACAAAGTTACATAGATCACATTACATTCCTATGGGACAGCACTGGTCTAGAAAAATGTAATTGCTCTTAATTTATCACTTCAAGACATTAGAGATTCATCAGAATATATACAAAAGTAACATGTACTATAAAATATTATCCTCTCTAGGAAGCTACTCTGTCCCCCAAAGTCTGGGTTAAAAGTCTCCTTCATGGTCCTTTATTGTCCCTGTTTGACTTTATTATAGCATTTATCACATTGTATGAAATTAATTTCTTGGTCTCTTCTCCTAGTCTGTAAGCTTCTGACAGGGACTATTTTTATTCTCCCTGTCCTTAGAATTTACGCACATGGTATGTTTCTTGAATGAAAGAGTTAAATAATTTGCTCAAGGGTATATAACTCAAGGAGGAACAGCAGATATTAAAGCACAACCTGTTTCACTTTAATGCTCTAGCTTTATGTATTGTGAAATGTTGCATATTATTTCAAAGATTAGAATGATCTTGAGCAATCATTTTTTAAAAAGTATGTATTTTCAATATTTAATATAGTTTACATAAGGTGTGAGAACTCAATTTTCTAAGTCATCTAAAGTTTTATTTATTGCACTTATATAGGATTTTGAACAATTCTACTACAGATTCAACTGGTCAGTCTCTCCCACATGATTGCTTTCTGGAAAACCACAGGAAAAGCCTTCCTTGGACATGCATCAGGTTTTTGGATCCAGAAGTCTTTTATCTTTTCTTCCCTTGACAGGAAACAGTATACAGAAAAAGAACAAGGTCCTCTATGCCTGTGTTTGCCAGCATTAATTCTTGTGATAATTTTTCTCCAATAAGGTTTTTCCTTTTGTTGAGTTTGAGGACTTGGGGGCCCATTAAAGAGCACAAAGTGGCAGTAGCACACAACCAAGCTTATTTTGATGATACTAGTCAGGTTGCATACAAGGGTTAGTC